CTCTCTCGCTCGCTCGCTCTCTCTCGCGCTCTCTCTCTCTCCCTCTCTCTCTCTCTCTCTCTCTCTCTCTCGGAGCGGGTTCTTTCAGCACGTACGTGAGACTTGTATAAAATTTACTTATGTTCTGTTTTGTAGTGCGTATGCGTGGGTGCATCTAACTTTTGTAACGTCTACTGCCATTGCTAATGTTAGCGACCAACACAAATTTCTCCCTGCGAGATGAATAAAGATTGTCATTGTCATTCATCGTCATGAGCCAAATCCGCCCCTGAATGTTTTGATTTTTTCATGAAGAGTTTTACGGCACTTGCAACACAATAAAGTAATATAGATCTAGGTGCCGAGGATAAGAGGTGTTACAAGAGAGCAACAAACACAAAAAAGGAGAGATAAGGGACGATATAATGTTGATGGGTTAAGAATGTGAAAGAACTTGATTAAGGGGAATGGACAGAGCTGAAGGGAGGGAGTGGGAAGGAAATGGAAAGGGGTGAAGGGAGGGAAGGGTATGGACAGAGGTGGTGAGGACGGAGGGGGGTGGACAGAGGTGTATCTCATTTCCACCAACTTGGCGATAATAAATTCATATGGTTAAAGTGGAGGATATGGAGGGCCAGTTATAATTACTTTCTGTAGGCCTACACTATAGGTTCGTTTTCTGATTATCATAATGGAATGGATGGTTGGCAAGTGATCCGATGTGGTTTGCTCCTTCTTTCCTATCAAACACATACCATCCTTAAATGTATCCTCCTTCTTTTCTTTGTATCTTACTCTGTTTGTTACTCGTCTAATCTCACCACTTAGGTGACATATTTGTGTTACAACTGCGAACCCAGACCGCCTTGGTCTAGGTTAAAACTCTTCCAAAAGCTAAACTAACCATACTAAACTAAAACAGTCTTTCTGATAATGGAATCCTCGGCCCTTGACTTCTTCATGATTGGAACGGCCTGCAATGACTATTGCCTACAGGAAGTACGGGTAAACCTTAAAAAAAACCCCAAAAAAACCCCAACCAAAACAACAACCCTCAACCCCACAAACTACACATCAACAACAACAACATCGCTAATTTTTGTGAGATAAATGTTAAAACCAATGCATAGCCTACTCTGAAAAATGCAGTTTACTTTGTTTTTCCATTCGTAACTTAGATCTAATTTTGAACGTTTTGATAAAAGATAATTTTGCTTTTTGACATTCACGGACTATACAGACATGCAGCCTCAGACTGTGTGTCCTGGCAGGTAAGGTCAGTTTTAGTGTTGATTCTTGTCTGAATCAATATAAGTAGTTCCATGTTAGCTCATGGCTCGTGTAAGAGCCCGATCAGCCGATCATCCACCCTTTTTAACAGCACCAGACTCCCTCGAACAGAAGAGACAATCTTAACCAAGAATTTTTATGATATTATGTTCTTATGATTAACTGATTCGACTGGCTCATCTAAGAGGAAAATATTGGTCTGTCATAATGCCACTTCCGATTAGCCATGTGTGACACAGCCATACAGTGCCTGCTTGATGAATCAATTGGTGAATCTGCCTTGCTTATTTAAAAATTCTCCAACTCACAGATGTGAAAGTTCTACCCGTATATATCTATGACCGGAAGCTGCATCATTTTATCTCCTTTTCTTTTGAAAAGAGCTACAACCGTGTTTCAGACAAATCATAGCCTATCCTTGGCAGTCAGGCCGAGCGTCAAGCTTACACTTACAGATCAGAACAAAAAAACAGCAGTCAACACTACAACAGTATCAGTAGGCCCCAAGGACTGTCAAGTTGACAAATTAATTTCCTTGACTTGGAGGTTGATTTACACGGTGTTACCATGTTTTCTCAGTTCGACAGCGACACCATATTCAATTCCGTCCTCATATTTGCTTGGCTTACTTTTCTGTGGGAAACATACCTCTCAGTCCGACAGGTGAATTCACCATTGAATTTTCATGAATTATTTTTTAATTTGTTGAAATGTTTTGTTTGAATCTGATGTTTGGCACTCCTGTACAATTGCGGTCCCGTTAGATCTAGCACCAGCCTAAATCACACACAGGCAAAGACTACTGACCTGGCCTGGATGTCGATGACGATGATATAGGCCGAGAATCTAGATCTAGATTTAACCCTTAAGATTCTGGTCCCTGATAAATGTTTGCCTGATAAGCGCAATCCCACGCGGCGCTCCACAGCTGGTCCCTGATCAGTCGTCCCGCGCGGGCCACGCATTTCGTTTAGTGCGGGGTCTGCATTTGTGTGCTAAAATGTGTGTGCGTCAGTCTGCTTGTGCCTGTGTGTCCATCTGGAACTTACTGCATTGTTTTGCAACGCGAGGCGTTGGTAGAGATAACAGAGAGTCGGTTGAGACGTTCATCCAATGAAATATGAGCATTTTGACCCAGTTAGACACTTGAGGGATTCGAAAGGATATTCAGGAAATAGGACTTTCATCTTTCAATGCAAACACCTTTCCTCACTTTTCAAACGATCTAATTCTTACAACTTACACCAAACGTTGTTTCCTGATGTAAATAATCATATTTGGTGGTTTTTGAACCATTGTCCTACCAGAGGGAGAAATTTGAGAGCAACTGAATAAAAAAAATGTTAGGAAATTATCCCATTTTTTTCCTCTTTCGAACAATAGCTGATATATAAGCACCTGTTCGCAAGTTCATTCATAATAGGTGTGAAATCTGGAAAACTCTGGAAAAGTTATTCGATTTGGTGTAACTTCCAATCTCAGCGTCTCTGATCAACCGACGAGGAGATAATGGGATTATTCTTGTGATCGTAACACTTATTCATTGATCGTATCAGTGTTTCCCTGACTACCGCGGCACGCGCGCGTGACCGGTGTCTGACCCCGGCGCCCCGCGGCACAAGCTCGCGGGCGACGTAAGTGGGTCATCGATCGATAAGAGTCCTCTTCCGGTTAACCCCGCAGGACTAGAGTTAATATATCGAAATGGCTAGTTGTACTTAAGTACGGCCAGTCTAGCCGTACTTAGATCTAGGTTTTGCCCTATCGACTCAAACCTGTTGAGTGCACAGGTCTCAGATCTAATCTAAATCTAGATCTAGATCTAGTAGGCCTAATTATTCAGGTTTAAAATACATGCAAGTCAGTAAGGTACCTTTTGGTTTTGTCTGAATACAAATACTTTCGGCATTGCAAACAAAAAATTTCATTTACAACTCAGCCATCATTATTAACCCTAGAAGCGCTCAGCGTTTCACCGGAAGTAACCCGCCAAAAACGCCCCGCGGCCACGGCCGATCAGTTGTAAACATGGGAGTTTGGCGGGGGGGAATCAGCTGAGATACCCGAAATGTATACCTGCTACTGAAAAATGACCATTTACGGCTCAACGGATGATAAAAAGCATATAAAAGCATATATATTTTCTTTAAGCTGATAGAATGAGCCATTCAAGAATGATCAGCGACAAACAAAGCCGAGAACGCGATAGACTCAACAATTAGTACATCAGCACGGCGAAACAAGTGATAACACGTAGCGTGTAGTCGCTCAGCGGGACCGCGTCACTTTATCGATCGATATCTGGGCCAAGAGACGCTCTACGAGGTCAAGATAACTTGCAAAGTCATTGGTCACTATTTATAACTTTGGCCTGTAATTAACTATGTCATTTTCCATATAAGGAACACTGGAATTTTCCATGGAAAAGGGTCAGCGTCTATGCCCTTTATATAGGGCCTGCGCGCTTCCCGATCGAAGTAGGTCAGCCTTATATATATATAGGGCGTGCGCGCTTCCCGGGTAGCCCGGCTCACGCCCTTTATATAGGGCTTGCGCGCTTCCAGGGTTAAGTACAGCTAGCCTAACAGTCTAGCCGTCCTTAAGTACGGCTAGCCAAGCAGTCTAGCCGTACACTGCCAGTCTAGCCGTACTTATCTTAGGGCCTATTAACATTAGAAAACAAGTCTCATTAGTAATTCAGGTTTATAGTTTATATGCACTGTCAGTAAGGCATGGTTTCGCCGCAAATACAAATACTTTAGGTACTGCTAACTAAAAATTTATAACAATTCTCTCTCTCTCTCTCTCTTGCCCTTTTTAACTCCCGGTGGAGCACAGGCCATCAACAGCATTACTCCAGCGAAGCCTGTCCTGAGCATCCTTTTCTATCTTTTTCCATAATGTCCCTGCTTTTTCAATTTCCGCTTGTACCGCTCGCCTCCATGTCATCTTTGGTCTTCCCTTCTTACGTTTTCATTGTGGGTTCCACGTTAAAGCCTGCCTGATGATGCTTGACGGGGGTCTCCTCAGGATGTGTCCAATCCATTTCCATTTCGTCACCTGTATGTCTTCCTTTTCTGGCCTTTGGCTTGTTCTCTCCCACAGTTGAGCATTAGTGACTTGATCGTACCACTTGATCCCCACTATCCTTTGTAGGCATCCATTTACGAAGCTCTGCAGTTTCCTTGCTGTGGATGCTGTGAGCCTCCATGTCTCTAAACCATACAGTAGAACAGTCTTCACGTTTGTTTTGAAGATCCTCAGCTTGGTGTTCAATCCCAGTTCCTTAGACATCCATATATTCCTGAGAATGATGAATGTAGCAATGCCAATCGGGCTTTCCCGCGCGGCAAAAATTTGGTCCCCGTTTGCGGGTGAATTTGTGGACCGGGCCGTAGCGTGGGTGACTAACTTTGTCAACCTCGGTCTGCTCTATTTCCGAACCAATTCGATTGAAACTTGGCTACCAATCAGAAAATAGGGCAAACTAATGATATGTGGACGTTGAAGTTGGTACACATAAAGTAACCTATACTTTTGGTGTCGGGAACACTTTCGTATCGGGTGTACCGAAAACTATAGGAGTTTGAATTTCAATGCCGAGATGGTAATAGATCTACCTATCCTCTATAGTGTGCTCAAATTTGAACGTTCTGTGTCGAGTAGTTGTTTAGACCCGATCATAAATGCACGACTACCCCCTATCCAAAGCGGCTTCGCACGGAGACCGGCCATTTTCCCCTCACTCTCGCGGCAAATGTATGTGACCTACAAATCCATGCATGACTATTCCGGGCCCGTTCATTGGTCACTTGAAATAGGGCAATGGCGGGCACGCGTTTATGGTTGTTTTTCTCTCTGTTCCCCTGTACCATTGCAATGGGGGCATTCCGAGGCGAGTTTATCTCGTCTCGGGCTGTTCGCGTCTCAACGGGGAAAAATAATTTTTAATTGTACGGCATGCTAGATTGAATTAACTTATCTTTTACGGTTGGCATGGTCTTAAGTCATCATTAAAAGCTTTGAAATTATTTAGTCACGCTGCCGACATATATATTCTTGAAGATCCCATGTTGTGATACGATGCTATAAATAAAATGGACTCATCCCGACACCCCTTTTTTGCAAAATCATGTACACCAAAATTTTAATTATAACAAAGTAACTACGAAATGGGTAGTAAATCTGACTGCAGAAATGATTTCTACACCCAAAAACACATCGGGTAGCCAAGTTTCTCTCTAACACTCCGATTAATTACCGAGATATCGTCGATTTTCTTACAGAATCTGCTACTGCATGGTCCACTTTTTAGGAGTATTTTCCTATATTTTGGTCATCCATATTTTGCCGACCTTTACAACCCTGTAACTTTTTTATTTATGAACCGATTCTTAAAATTCAAGAAGCATAATTCTTAGAATTGAAAATTCTTTCATAGGTACCAAATAAAAATTAAATTTTCATTGGCATTGCTAATGAATGCTGCAATTTACAATTCAGTAGGCCTATTTTTTGGGGTCAGTCTAGCCATCATATAAGTACGGCTAGCCCAGCTGTCTAGCCGTACTTAAGTAGGCTAGACTGCTACGCTAGCCATACTTAAGTACGGCTAGCGTCTTCCTTAGTATTGATTGGCCGGCTCTATTTCTCCGAACGTACGTGAAAATAAACTTGAATTCTATTTCTCCGAAAGGTTTCCATTCTCGAGATTTGTTGATGATAAGCGAATGGAGTGGCCCGTGTGTGTGTGTCAGTGTGTGTGTAAGGTGTGAACGGGGGGCGTGGAGGTTTTTTTTTTTTACATATATGAAGAATTTTAGTTATTGCTGGATGACTAAATTATGCAAAATAGGTTACTGCCAAGGTCAAGCAATCTTGTTTTCTCGCAGTATCTTTTGAAGGTATTTTCGAATGAGGTATAGAGTCCAGGAACGTTGCCCCAACCACAACCGAAGTATCTAAATATTCAGACATTTAAAAATCTCTTGCTCTTGAAATTGAATTCGATGCAAAAAATGCTTCGTCCCAGTCCTCGCAGAATGAAAGGATGATGCCTTAATCTCGCAAATAATTTTAAAATCTCGAGATCGGAAACCGTTCGGAGAAATAGAGTTCAACTTTATTTTCCCGAACGTTTGGAGAATTAGTCAAGTCAACTTCGTTAAATATATTTGGTATCGATGTTTTATCAGTAGATTTTTAGATTCTAGATCTAACCTACAAAATGAGCAGTAAAATTTCACTTATGTATTTAACAAGGCAAGGGGGGTTTCAAGAGGGCTTGCCCCCCTGACCACCTAACAAAAATATGGGGGGGGGGGGGGGGGGGGGGGGGGGGGGGGGGGTTCAGGGGGGCATGCCCCCTGAATTTGACCATAATTTGATGTTTTGCAATTCGGTTTGATTGGCTATGTCTCCATAGGCCTATCGGCATGCGGGTCAAAAAGTAATTGTTTAGAACTAAAAGTAATCGTTGACAGGGTCAAAACGAATATATAAACCTAAACGGGACCGCAATTGTACAGGAGTGCCTGAAGTTTGGTTGGAAGTCTTGGACCTGGCCCTGGTGGCACCGTTACAGTAAAGGCCGCGGCTATTCGGGTTCGAGTCCAAACAGCCGCGGGAGGCTATTCGGACTCTCGAGTCTGAATTCGAGTCCGAATAGACTTCCGTGGCTTTTCGGACTTTAACTCCAATGTGCGTGCGCAATCACTAGGTGTACCGGGTGTGAAGCAGACAAGCAATTTGACCTTGGCCTTCCTCGGTTTCTATGATCTGGCCAAGGAACTTCTGTTATAAAGACACTATTCTAAAACCCCTTTTTTTCTCCTCTTTACCTTTGTAAATAAAATACTGCTATAGCGCTATCAGAAAAACATGCGAGTCGGTTATAGCAGAATATTGCTGCTGCTGTGCACAGTGCATAGGCCAATTATACATAATGCAAAACCTCGCCAGTTGAGAAACTTGTCGGTGAACTAGCCAAACAAAGAATGGGAGAGCCCATGTGGGTCAACAATGAAGGCAGGAGCGACCGAGTAGGGAGGTTGTGGCATGCGCAGACAAGCAGAATGCATCGCGTGATAGGCCGGCATAAGCCTAGATCTAGTTTAGATTATCAAGGCCTACCATGCCTCTCACTTCTCCGATGCGGGGATGGAGAGGTCACAGCAATGTGATGGATGTAGTGAATGTGTGACGTGCGCGAGCAGTCAGACAGAATGCACCACAGGGTGGGGTGGGGTGGGGGAAAACACAGCGGGCGAGTTAGCCTAGAGCCCTTTCTTTCTGATCGCCAATGCCGAGCTGTCAGTCCACATCGTTAGCTAGATCTAGCGCTAGAGAAAGAAACCTGATTCGATTTTTGATCAAGTAAGACCTAGAGGTCATGTTGAACAAAATCATCATCAGGGGAGATAGCAAAAGGAAATAAACAGAAAACCAAACTCATAGATTAGGCGTACTTCACAGTTTCCCTTGAATTTGTTAGTGGATCTCTTATAGCGAGAATCCTGCTATAACGGACATTTTGCTCTGGTCCCCTCCCTCTCGTTATAACAGGATCCACTGTAATCAGACAGAAGTTGGCATTGTTTTCCCTCTAGAGTTAGATCTAGATCTCGAGGACAACAAACATAGATTAGGCGTACTTCACAGTTTCCCTTGAATTTGTTACTGGATCTCTTATAGCGAAAATCCTGCTATAACGGACATTTTGCTCTGGTCCCCTCCCTCTCGTTATAACAGGATCCACTGTAATCAGACAGAAGTTGGCATTGTTTTCCCTCTAGAGTTAGATCTAGATCTCGAGGACAACAACTGACTTGGTTCTTATCCAGATAAGCTCGCCTCGGAATACCCCCATTACGATGTTACAGGGGAACAGAGAAAAAAGCAGCCAGATGCGCTTGCCTGCCATTACCCTATTTCAAGTGACCAATGAACGGGCTCGGAATAGTCATGCGAGGATTTTTAGGTCATGCATTTGCATAGGGCGTGAGGGAAAATGGCCGGTCTCCGCGCGAAGCGGCTTTGGACAGGGGGGTAGTGGTACATCATGATAAATTCTGCACTACTACTTGACACAGAAGGTTCAAATTTTAGCACACTATAGAGAAAAGGTGGATCTCTTACCGTCTTGGCGTCAAATATCAAAGTTAAATTATATAGAAAAAACGCAAGTGGGGAAATGGAAAGTGGCCGTTTGTACAGGTGGCCGTCTTATAGAGGTGGCTGTCAGGGCAGGTTTGACTGTATAGGGATATACAGGGGGTATGCTGATGCCCCCCTGTGAACACCTCCCCCCCGATTGGTCCAAAGCACTGAAATTACTATGCAGTTAGGCTAAGTGTGATATAGTTTGAATGCTGCTACCACTCAATACAGAGGAGATGAACAGTAACATTTGCACAGTTTGTACCTGGAGCAGGGTCAACTGTATTTTCTCTTTCCATACTTGATGTCTGTTTTTTTTCTGGGTTTTTTTAAAGCGTCATGTTGCGAAGACAAGTGAAAAAGCTCCTGAAGTCCTCAAAGGCGTTATGGATCAAGAAACCTTTGACAAGGCAAGGAGTTACCACCTAGACAAAAGTTCCTTTGGCCTGTTTAGCAGTGTTTTTCATCAATTTGAGTCCACAGTAAGTTGCATGTCTGTGAAAAGTTGAATTGTCAATTGTTTAGAAGTGTGAGTCGTTTCATTGATGTCAAAGGTAACCATACGCCCCTACTTGCTTTTGAAATTTGAATCAGGTTGAGTCAGTTTCAAATCTGCTATGAAAAAATCTGAACAGAAGGGCTCGCCATTTATGCACTTTCAATGAAACTGAATAAGCAGCTACCAACTTTAATCGTTACTCTTGACGTTACATGCTTAGTACTTTATGAGTCAGAGTAGTTTACTGGTCTTTGTGAGAGCACAGAATGGAGAATGCCTGTGGTACATAACAAGGCTTTTGTTTAATAGTAATAATAGTGGCTTACATCATGTGAAATGACAGGGAAGATGTGGAAAGTGAGATGAATAGGGTACACAGACTATTTTTAGAAATCTGACGCGCTCTCTTACATTACATATTTTTATACATAAGGTTGTGTTCTTTTCTTGTTAGCAGGAATAGAGAACTTGAAAGAACTTTCTCTATTAATATTTGTGGAAATGGTAAATAGATAACGAACTACTTTACTTGTATGTATTTTTCTCCTCTCATTATGTTTAGTACCTTGTGTCATTTTTTAAAAGCTTTTTTTAAAATGTTACTTTTTTTACAGTTCATTCTTTTGTTTGGAGGTTTCCCATTCTTATGGAATCTTGGAAAGTCCATTCTCATCAGCCTGAACATGCCACAAGGAGAGGTACTGAATATATCATATATCATATATCCTTTTCCTTCTATTTTATTACTTCAGGCTTATTGACTTAAATTTATTGTCAGATTTAGTTGACTGGTTGTATGATATGAAATTGCTTGTTACCCTTTTAAGATGTTTCTTTTTTTGTTCTTATCACTCTCTCATCTCATCGGTTTCCTTATACCTTATGGAATACATGCTCAAAGGCAAGATGGAACTGAAATACTAGAGCCCTTTCCAGTACTCGTTTGTTGTTATTCAGTCATTACACATCTTGTGATGGCAGAGGAGTTGGTTGATATATATATCCTGATGCGTATGTTGGATGGCTCTCAAGTGCTGCGGCTGCATGTTTCAAAGATTGTCCAGTAGAAATGAGCAACACCTTATCACTTTATTGCTTTTTCAGCTAACTGGCACTTTTCGTTATTTCTGCCGTAAAATGTAGGCCTATTGTTCTTTTTCCAGTCTTTTATAAAAAATTTTGTACTTTATCTATGTATGAAAATTTTATTAACCGAAAGAAGTCATAATGTGGGATTCATGGAGATATTTTGCTACGTAAAGTGCTTTTCATTCAAACATAGAGAAGGAGATGACTTGAAACTTATAATGTGTACAATGTTTTGAGTTGTATCTTCTTATTTTTTTTTTGCAGACAGTGTTTGCTCACATGTATGTTGATAGCCATTTTAAAAAAATAAATAAAAAGAGCACTTTATTTCATCTCTGTGGAGATTCAGATTGCTTTGATGAATAGATAAAAATTTACAGCATGCATTATAACACTATACAAAATAGCTTCAATTCTTTTACAGCAACTTCGCCATAGTGAAGGCTCCTTTTTATTTTTAGCTATGTACCATGTCTTGCTAAAGGAACATACCTATGAAGATCTATAATTTGAATGCCATCTCATCAACATTGTTTCGTTATGTACATGAGTCTGTGGTCACTAACTGTCAGCTCAGCCACACACCCAAATTAAAAGCTGCTTAGTGGTAGTTTCTTTCTTTTGTTATGCCCCTGGTCTGAAATGTGCATGTTCTTTTTAAAAATCTCATGTATTGATTTTTATGATGTGCTCATTGAATATTACCCCCTGGTACTGAGTTTTGTTTTGTGGTTTGGGGTCACCTCGGTGTGGCTTCCTCCTTTCCGGTCGAACATCCATATCACTCCTCCTTCTTTTCTTTGTATGTTACTCTTCAGTAACACTTAATTTTTGCCACATATATATGACTTATTTGTCACTCCTCCTTCTTTTCTTTGTATGTTATTCTTCAGTAACACTTAATTTTTGCCATATATGACTTATTTGTGTTGCAAGTGCTATAGAACCTTTACTAAAAATCTATAACGTGAGTTTGGTTTCTTTTCATTGTTCAGATAATGCAGTCCATGGCATTCATTGTGTTGGGGATCATCTACTCCACATTCTCGTCATTGCCCTGGTCGCTGTACAGTACCTTTGTGATTGAAGAAAAGCATGGATTTAACAAGCAGGTGGGATGAAAACAGTGTAGAGCTAAGTTGAGATGATTTTAGCCTCGAAGCCCGTCAGTGTAATAATGGACATAATGAAATGTAGATTTGAGTTTTCAGTAGTGTTATTTTTTTCATTTTTCTAATAATTTTAAAAATTGTTTTGTTGTTTTTAAATTGTTGGGTTTCTTTTACATTTGCTGGCTTAAACATTTTTTTTTTTAAAGGTTGACAAAAACAAAATGTCTGGAAAAAAAACCCCAACAACCTTAAAACTTATAACTTTGTGTCCCGCGTCATGAACTTCATAGTTCTTCTGTGAGTTACAGGTTTTCATTTGAGATGCTCTTTTTGATATCAATGCGTTCATCTACAATTTGTTATTAGTGATTTCTCCCCCCAACCCAAATTCTTATTTGGTTTCAAGATGATGTGTTTCTGCAGTTTCACTAAAGTTGAATTTTCTTGTACAAGTTTACTGGCGTCTGTGGTGTAGTGGTTAGGTGTTTCGCTGTCGCACACAGGAGACCTGAAATCGATTCCCCAGTGGGGAGAAAATTTCGAGCGTCTCTGTCTTTCTACTGGGATGTTGTATTAGCCTGGTTGGCCCTGACAGGTAGGGTTGGAAGCTTGCGTTCTAATTTATTTAAATTGTGTCGATGTGGCGTTGAAAGTCACATCCATTTAAAAAAAAAATAGCACAAATTTTAACTTCCCCTGTGGCAACAGTTTAGCCTATTTTGATGGTAAGCTGCTTCTGCCCTGCCTGTCATATCCCACTCATTTTGAAAAGGGGGAATATCTTCCCCATTCTGAATAGAACTCCAGTCTTTGCATGCTTAGCGAAGAAACCGACCATTATGCATTAGATGCCTGTAAACTTCTGTGTGATTAGGACAGTCTCATTCAAGCAGAGAATGTAAGATATATATATATGTGCTTTATATAATGGAACACAGGATTGAATTATTGTGCTTTTAATGTCAAATGCTTTATTGCCATATTTCTTGTTTCCAGATCAATAAAAACTCATTTTTATGCTCATCCTTGTTGTTAAAAATGTAGTAAATATTTCTTTCTTTCTTCCTGTTCAGACATTGGGCTTTTTTATCAAAGACCATCTGAAGCAGCTAGCAGTGGTTGTGGTCATCTCACTGCCGGTCACTGCTGCACTGATCTACATCGTACATGTTGGTGGGGATTACTTTTTCATCTACGCCTGGCTCTTCACCTTCACTGTTTCGTTGGTAAGATAGATGAGTCAGAAGATGACTCAGGATAGAATTATCCTTCTTTTAGGAAATTTTTCTTTTATCCCCTCGCAATGATTTTTTAACACCAGTACACACAAAATCATTGGCGCGATGACAGATGCTGACTAAAAAATAAAAAAAAAGGAAATAGCTTTAAGCACCAGTAGTATAATTCCCAATCTATGACCTTGTTTTAAATTCCTGTTCTGGTCAGTAGATTGTGACTTTCAAAATGGTATCATACAGATATTGAACAGGAAACAAAAACAGGTTCTTAGGCAGATGTGGTTCTTTGCCAGATTTTAAGGGGCACAACTTGGCACCTACCCTTTGACTTCCCTTGTTTATTCTACAATAAAATAATGATCAATAAGAGCTTGTCTCCTTATACGCGACGTCGCATCGCGTGTGGTCCTTGCTACTCTAAAATCAATCAAGTAAGATTATAAAGAAGCTGTGTCCTTACACGCGCGATTGTTCCATGTAGCGATCGAGGGTTTCATCGCGTGCGACAGACGGGGGGTGTGACAGGTTTAGAGCATCACCATTGGTCAAAATACCTAGCCAAGGAGTGCCGATCAACTTGCCGTGTGTCGTGTGGTGGTGGTGGTGGTGTGTCTGTGTGTGTCTGTATGTCTGTGTGTGTGTGTGTGTGTGTGTGTGTGTGTGTCTGTGTATGTCTCTGTGTGTGTGTGTGTGTGTGTGTGAAATGTTCATATTCAATTGACCCAATGCAAGTTTTGTGAATCTAATTTTGTTGTTTTGCTTTTTTAACGGACAGCAGGAGGAGGAGGAAGAGGAGGAGAAGGAGGACTTACACTAAAGCTTTTCATCATATTCGCGGGTGTGCATCAGTGTATGTAAATGTATGTGTGCGTGTGTATGTGTGTGTGGGTGGGAGAGAGAG